AGTTCGAGTGCAAAACTTTCACTTTAAAGAATATGATTCCATATTTTGTTATATGTATAATCGATAATAGTAATATTTGTGGGTAGACCCAAAAATAGGAGTAAGTACTTGTGTGATTCATGTTTCTTGGGTGACCTGTAAGCAAAGGAATAGAAGAGTTATATGGTAAGAATTTCCAATTATGATTAGTTACTGATTTCAATCCTTTGATTTGCTAGCAGACTATCACATGAGTTTAAGTGAATCGATAAGATGACAAATTTGGTTGATATGCACAAGGAAATAAAGATTCTTCGAAAAGAAGTAGAGTTTCAAAAGAAATTAGCTGAGCACTAGGAAGGACGATACAAACAAGAATATTTGGAGAAAATTGAGTTGCTGCACGAGAATATAAAACTGAAAAAGAAATATGAAGAAATCCTGGAGCAGGTACGGAATAAGTTTGAATTGGTGTATTTGCCTAGTCTGGTAGCATCTCAAGACATTTCTAACAATCAAGTTAAAAGGGGTGAAGGAAGTTTTCACGATACTAAAAGGAAACGTGAAGAGATTAGTGAAGATGAACTTGTTATGAAGGATAAAGAGAGGAAGAAAAGAAAGAATGGACACTTCACGAAGAGATGCGTAGCTGCTAAGTGTGAAATATGTAATAAAATTCATACTGGATTATATTATTTAAAAATTGGTGCATGTTTTAGATGCGGCCAACTTGGACATCAAATGAGGAACTATCCAAGACAAGCAAATTTCGTGATGGTGAAACCACTGTAATAGTCAAAATTAGCAATTAGTGATGTTTTGCCTGAAATAGTTGTATTTATTGGACTATGTGTAGTGAAAGCTTTATGTAGTAAGTTGTATCTCTGTTAGAAATAGTGAACTTGGTACCTGATGTTTTAATTAGTGATATTAAATGTCTGTGGTTGGGCAGCGTTGAATCCTTATCCATGAATCAATTATCATAATTTAGTCTTGGATTTAAGCAAGAATTCTTCATTTGTGGTTCAAAAGAAAGAAATTTTGATTAGAGAGAGTGATTCGGATCTAGTGGCACAATTGTAAAGATGAGAAGGGCCTTACGTTGTGAATGATTTGTCAACGTCCATTGTATGAGTTTAATAACTTGGAAGAGTAGTAACCAAGTTTAGTATCTTCTTTTCATCGAATTTGAAGTTTTTGTCACCTTTTACCTTTTTGATACCTTCATTGATCTTTCTTAGTATGTTAATTTATCCATTACGTTATTAAGATTTTCCCTCTAGGCAAGTTTGTGATAGCAGCATGAGTGAGGGGAAGCTCTTGAGAAGTAGAGGAAATCGTGTAGAATCGAGTTTTGTGAGCAAAGGTTAGAATTTCGAAGACAAAATTCTTTTAAGGGGGAGAGAGTGTGAGGATGCGAAAATTTTGTTTTTATATTTTTCTTATAGCTTCCTTTATTTCGGAATAAGTTAATTTATACTTTCTTTTGGTTTCATTCACTTGCCCTAATTTCTTGAATACTTAATGATTGTGTCAAGAGTTTATTTTTTATATTTTGGTACATGTTAAGTTTCATAGTATTAGCGAGGTTGTAGCGATTTTTAGTGGGATGTGTGAGGAATTTAGTGGGAGAAAAGGAGTTTAGTGCAATTGGAGAAAATTAAGCCAAATGAAGATAGACATTAAGGGAAAACTTGACAAGTGCCATCATTGGAACCAAGAGTTATTAGTTAAACACTTCAAGGGTTAAGTTGACCTTATCATTTTCATTTGTTGTCTTGCAAAATAGAAAACAAAAACACACAAGGGAGAGAGAGAGGTGGGGCTGAAATTGAGGAGGAAAAGGGGAAGAAAACTTCATCCAAACTAGCTTCCATCTTACTTAGTTTTGTGGGGGAAAGGAAGGAGACATCTTGAAGTGGCCATCAATCTTAGCATGAGCTTGTAAGGGTAGAAAATTTGGTTGGTTTTCATCTTGTTTCGGAGGCAAAAGAGGTAACAAAATGCTAATTTTTCCTTCATTCTTTGTCTTATGTTTAAGATAAGTGAATTTTGAAAGTTTTTGTGACAGTCCCACCTTCCCCTAGGGCGTACCCTAAGGATTAGCAAACTGCCTGCCCATCTCTTGTCAGGACTACCGAGTCGAAAACACGATTACCAAATCATACAGTGCAATAAACTTTGATTAAACGTTTCAATGAAAAGCGATAAGAACTGATGCCACGTCAGAATCTGGCTAAGATTTAGCCAGATTGCCAGCCGGATAGCTGGCTGGATTCAAGGTAGTGACCAAAACGAAAATTCTCATCTTCCCCTGACAATCCAGCTAAGTATCCGGCCAAGATTTGGCCGGATATACGGTCAGATTCCCTGCAGTAGTTCCCGCCAGATTCCTTTTCTTTCCTTATTCAAGTTCCACACTCGGCCGATCATTCCAGAGAATACGAGAAAGTTCACATAACCATAGAAACATGCATTCCTAACTATTATACTTAGCCATACGCTTGCATAAATATATACATTGGAGTCTTTACAAGCCAAAATATTATACTTGCTCAACATACAATGAGGGTTTACTATTACAGAGGAGTTTGAATAGAAGAATATCTACATCTAGCTCTACTCTTTCTCCAAAAATCATGGTTCCATTATTTTGTCCCCTGTAAGGAAAACAAAGGTAACGGGAATGAACTTTTGCCCAATGAAGCACCAACGGGTCAAGCAGTCAAATATCACGAAAGTACACATGTAATCAATCAAATATAGATATCAAATAAAGAGGGAGGAACATCACAGTTAAACCAGAAGTAAAAGAATACAGATGGCTCTCAAGTGCCAATTTCCTCTTTCACATTACTTGATCCAACCCCGTTGATCCTCCATCAACGTTTAAAGAAACGACCAAGATCGTACACCCCACTTTACACTAGTGTCCATCCATCAAACATATCCCTTGCATGGCCCAAACACTTCAACAGAAACAGAGGTGGTAATACTTGAGTATACCGATTAGTCGAGGAGATAACACTCTACTCGACAAAACAGAAGGCCCAGGGTTCGTTATCTCATCGACCAGGCCCTTGCCGGCTCGACTCGAGTAACTAGCCACAGGGTTTGAGCTTAGAAATCACCGCAAGGTCGTTGGATACAAGCCTCCAAATGACATCAGATCATGCTCAAGTAATAGATTCAGATGTATACAGGAACCAGTCAAACAAGTGAGAGAGTGAGTGTAATAAAGTACACCCTCATCTCATCCAGAATAAACAGAGGTCACAGTCATTCAAGTCACAGATTGCAGGTACAAGTAAACTAATTAAACAACAAGTCATGCAAGTGGCATACTCACCAATCAATGGCAACACTTCACTTTATCCTTGATTCGTCCTCTTGAACTCACTTGAGTCCTGTAGCCATATAGTATATAAAAGGCTAGCAACACAAAATCAAAATACATGAAGAAATTAAGATTTCTAAGACTTCATTTCCTTTTACTTAAATCTCCATTCCACTCATAAACCATACTCAAAATGATTTACCAACTCCAAACTTAAAGTGGGAAATGAAAGTAAGAACGGTTCTAGGAAAACAAAAATTTTCAGTTTTGCGCAACACTATTTGGAAAATCATATCTCAAGATTGTTAAGTTCAAAATTGATAAACTTTATATTGTCGGAAAATAGATTCAAAGGGCTACAAGTTCTTAGAAGACATATTTATAAGATTCAGTTCATAAGTTAGTCAAATTCAAGCCTCAAGTTGCTGCTTCATCCAGTAAAAGACAGAACAGGTATGCAATTTCAGTCAATTTGAAAAATCACAGATATTCATGGGAATTGAGAAAAAGGCTAAAATTTTCACAGTTGATAGTACTCTGACTCTAGTTTCAAACGCATTACATATATGGTCAACACTTAAGCAGATTTCCAACAACAAGATATAGCAGATTTCCTAAGGCTGTCCAAGGATTCCTGCGGACAAATTTTCCGCAGCACCTCCTTTGTTTTTACTAAGTTTTTCCAGCCAATTCAAGGCTTCATTCTTACCACAAAACAGCCTCAACTCAAGCATATACATATCAAGCCAACAACGCACTAAAGTAAACATATAACCATCACCTACTCAAACTAACAAATGAAACCCTAAGCTGAAATTCCTACTCAGAAGCTGAAATTTTCTTTAGGCAAGTTAAACTAGCATGTAAAAGCTAGACATTTCACATAGCAAAGCTACCAAACCATAGCTAACACTTAAGCATCATATATGGTCAGAAAATTCACCATAAAACTGAAAATTTCCATATCACCACTTCCAACCATGAAATATTGCATAAAATTACCAAAATTGCAACCATAAACCACTAATTTACAATTATTTGAAGTAGAGAGAGTTTCTTGCCATAAATACCTTAAACCTTATGCAAAGAGGTTACCAGCACCATTATCTTCCCAAATCACTCCACAAAAACCCTTAAACTTCCTTAGAGATCCACTTTTATGGACTAGTTTGCAAAACTAAAGGTTCAAACTCGAGAATCAAGCTTGAAGTTGGAATTGAAGATGAACTTTGCTGTCTTGTTTTTCCTTTCAATATTTTTGGCCAAGCAGGGAAAGAATGAAATTTTGATCAAAATTGGTCTTTAGGAAAGTTAAGAAACCTTGGTCAAAGTCCAACCCCTAATAGTTTCATGACACTTGGCTCTTTTAGGGTTTGATCTCATCTTTTTTGTCTTCCACAGGTTAATCTATCTAGCTAAACTCTAATTATCTCTAGTACCTTGTAAAATAATATCCCTTTATGCAAAACTCCATCTAATCGTCAAAAGTTATCACACTTACCGCACTAGCGGGTCCCACGTCCATAATGCGCTACGAACAACACATGAACTAACTTATACTAGAAATATGATTTAAAAACTTGATTCCCTTATAAAAATATCTAGGAAATTAAAGCAATAATTTAAAGTAAAGAAAAGGCATTCAAAGAAATAAATAAATACAATATAATTTCCCGGGTTCTCATAGTTTTTCAAGTTGATGATTCATGAACTTTTTTTCTTTGTTTTTTTTTTTAAATTTACTTTAGTACAATTTTTTGAGTCCGCGTACAAAACACACTACACCCGAGCAAAGCTATGATGAAAGTGGAGAAACGAGGACTTATCCAAAAGACAACAAGCTCTAACTGAGGCCGGAAGTATGCCAAACTAGTGAACAACCCGTCACAGCCCAACCGGGCAGCAGCAAGGGCATCCGCGGGCAAATTGCCCTCCCTATAGATGAACTGGACAGTTGCCCGCACTTCCCTAAGCAAAAGACGATATCTCTGAATTACCCTGCTTAAAGGTCACTTAGCCAAAACATCGGAAGACACCAATCGGACCAAGCTCCTATTATCCACCTCGACCGTCAACTGTTGCACGCCACGCGCCTGGCAATGTGTTAACCCAACCTGCAGAGAAAGTGCTTCCGCGGTCAACATATCCACCTCTCCAAACTCCTTGTAGAAGGCGAAGACTAAATCGCCTTCCGAATCACGAACCAAGACCCCACTAGCAGCCCCACCCACAGCGACGCAAGCATCCGTGTTGAGCTTCACACAAGGCAGCGTTGATTTGAGCCAACGAACCACTTGAAAACGAACCACTTGAAAACGAACCGAGAGACGTTGACATTGGGCCAGACTAGCCCAACCACAATCCCGGTCCCCGCGTGAACTGACGAAAATCAAGCACCTGCACCATACCTATCTTGCGAACAAATTACTCCACTTGGAATATGACTCGGGAGGTTGAAAACGAGCCCCTATTGAAACGAGCATCATTCCTACCCTTCCAGAGGAACCAGAGGACAAGTAGCGGTAGAATAACCCGAATATGGCCTGGACCAACCCGCAAATGAGAACCAAACCATCTAAGAAGCACTGACGAGATGCTAAGAAAGTGAATACCTGCAATTCCAAATTTCCTGGCAAAAAACCTCCAGACAGCTGCAGCAACTGGTCCAGTAAGAAACACATGATTAAAGGACTCAAACGCCTGCAGGCAGTAACCACAACAGGACACCAGAGCAAGCCCTTTTTGCTGTACAACACAGTCAATCGGAACCCACCTGCACACTAGCTGCCATGAAAAGAATGAAATTTTCCCCGGAATGACTGGGTCCCAAATAAATTTATCCACTAAGGAGATATTCCGTTTTTGGCGCAGAGCCTCCCATGCCGAGGACACCGAGAATTCACTTGATGAACTTAGCCCCCATACCCTCCTATCTTTCCGGAATGGGTCAAAAGGGATTTCCAATATTTCTGTAAGTAGAGACTGCGGTACCCATTCCCGTAAACGAGGAACATTCCATCCATCCAGGGAATAAAACTCACCAACTAACAGATAGGGTGGATCTAGAAGGCCCAAGCGGGACGCCAGCGGTTGGTCGCCACACCAAATATCAAGCCAAAAGTCTAGCATGCCCTCCCCTAAACACCACCTAGTGTTATCCTCAACAAAACCCCTGACCTCGTCCAAGCGCCACCAAGAAAAGGGAGCTCGCTCCACAACCATGCTCGTGGGATGAGCCCACCGAATGTACTTTGTGTGCATAAATTCAGCCGAACAGGAGTTATGCCCCCGCAGCCTCCACCAGAGCTTACATGAAAAGGCTCGCGACATCTTAGCAAACGACCTGATACTTAAGCCCCCTTCCTGTAGAGGAAAGCATAGCTTCTCCCAAGCACACCAGTGAAGCCGCCGTGCATTAACATTTTGATCCCATAAAAAGGAATTGCATATTCTACCTAAAGCCACCAGCACCCCCTTTGGTGGAGAGCGAACCTGTAACAAATACAAAGGGACTGAACTGAGAACATGACGAAAAAGAATTAATTTATTCCCTGCATTGAGCAGTTTAGAGCTCCAGTGGAACAGATGAGCTCGAACTTTTGCCAGAAGGCTATCGAAAATGACGCACCCCAACCTGCCTGTCGCACCATATTTTTTTAATAAGAAAAATAAAAGACGAGTTTAGGAAAAATGGCTTTTGATTTAATTTTTGATTGAAAAAATGAATTTTTTGATTTAAAAAGAAAATGAAAAACGTGGGTCTAAATGGGACTTGAAAATGCGACGATTTGACCCAAAATATAGTTTAAAAAGGGTTTTTTGAATGAAAAATCGGAGTCGCCACTTGGTATAGAGTTAAGGTGTATCAAGTCACCTAAAAATGAATTTTTAAAGAAAAAAGTAGAAAACCCTTTTTAAACGACTCCAAGTTTACGAAAATCAGAGAAAAAGATTCGGAAGTCACATTTGAAAAAAGGGAAGGCAAGGATAAGAATCCAAGGCACCCTTTCAACCTAGCCAAGGCTAGTTGCGCGATTTAGTCAAAAATTTTCTTATTTTACCCTTAAGATTGAACACATTTGGATGTACTATATGAATGCATACCCTAGATCTAGGAAGGTGTCGGGGGGTCGAAATGTATCTTCAAATCTTCTTTGGTACCAATCACATTAATTGTGACGCACAATAAAGACTCTTCGGAGAAGTCACGAATAATGCGAAAATATGAGACTCTAAGAAAAGAAAAGGAAAATAAAAATAATTGTATAAATATACGTGACCTAAAGGAATGCATCATATCGGGTACGGGGGACTAATGTTCGTGACTCAATGTTCCCTTTAATAGAGAGAATACGAGCGTGCTAAAGCTAGAGAAGCCAAACTCGTCCATATCCCATATCCAAGGGATTTTTCCTATCTAATCAAGCAAATGATCTAATCTAATTCTAATGCTTAGATGAAATGCAAGTCTAATGTCATGTTTCATACAAAGGGGTAAATAATATACATATAAGGGAAAATATGGGGAATGGGATGTACGTATAAGGAGAGATGTCATGCAAAAGTGATAAAAGACCCTAGAAAGTAAAATATGCATGAGATGAAGTGAGTTTATCAAACAATCATGATCTAACGCTCAAAGGGCTCTTAAGGGTCTAGCATTGGACTAGCCCTTATTTCTACTTTCTCACTAGCATTGGACTAATGAGAAATTGGACAAGGGAAACACAACTAGCGTTGGACTAATGTGGTGACGGGAAAGGAATCACAGCTAGCATTGGATTAGTGTGATAACATGCATTTATTACAGTTTAAGAAATCAGATAAAGCATAATAACGCAAATAAACACATATAGCACATAACACATAAGCATGATGTCTAGATGCAAAACCCTAGGAAAGTGAGTAACACATAACACATAGGCATGCAAAAACACACAAGACAAATAAAGCAAATAAAGGTCTAACTATTATATTCGGGGAACCCTACTACAATCTAAAAGGGGGGAAAGGAATTAAATGATATAATAACCTAACTATTACAATTGTGGCATTTAATTGCCCTCCCAAATAATTACAAATTAAATTAAAATAAATATACAAAATTAAAACAAATAGAGTAACTAAATGAACAAATATAATGAGAATATTCAAAAAGAAAAAGAAGCATGCAATTTCACACATAATTTCACATAAGTGCACATAGGATCAAATAAGTCAAAATAAGGGATAGGGTGTACCTCCATTGAGTTGGGCCTCTAATGAAGTGAAGTCACTTATTTACCCCCCAAAATATAAAGAAAAGGTCAAGGCATTACTTTAATTAACAAATAATCATAAAAGATAAAAATGAATTGTGAAATTGAATCAATTAAATCATATAAACAACCTACATTTAAGAAGTCAAAAGAAGAAAGTATTTGATTGCAAAAATTAACAAAGTTTTGAGGTCAAAAAATAAAGAAAAATAAAGTTTAGGGACCTATTTGCAATTAATTAAGGACTCAATTGAAGGAAGTTACAAGTTGTTAGGACCATAGTATAATTAATGAAAAGTACAGGGACTGATCTGTAAATTTATTTTCTGGTTTCTTAATGGATCAGGCCACTGGACCATTTTCTGACCTCTCCTTTGGGCCAAAACCACTTGGCCCGATAGGAAGACCAAGGGAATGAAGTGGTCAACCCACTCTTTACCAATTAAAACCAAATTAGTCAAAGACCAACCCTAAAGCCTAACCAAAAGAGTTGGACTTTATCCTCCTAAGTCCAAGTCAGAAACCCAAATAAATAAGCTAAACCAACTCCCTTAAACCCAAGTCAAAAAAATAACCTCTCAACCCAAATCACACATTTCACTAAAACCCAACATGATAAAATCAAATAAAATTATTAAACCACAATCATGACCCAAAATCAAGAATTAATCTATCCACAAAGTCACATAAAATATGCAAACAGAGGATTAAACTTAAAAGGACAAAATTAGTTCAATTTTTCCAGATTTTGGGCCACAGAGAAATTGGGCAGAAAATGAAGGGTTCAATTGCAATTTTCAGAATTTATGCTTCAGGCTCCGCAGAAGCTCTCTTCTTCTACGCTAATTTCTGGGTTCTGCAATCAAAAGCCTATTCAGTGTATACATCATGCACAAACCCAAATTAAAGCTTGAGTTTCGGATTAACATAATCCCCTTTGATTATCACAACCCTTTTTTTTTATTAACATAACCAAATCAAGAACATTAAACCATTGAAGATCAAACCACATCAGCTGCCATTTCAGCTTTCTTCGCGGACAAAAACAACATCACAACAATTCAACTCTGACCATTCCCCAAAGAACAAATACAACTCGCATATGCTTTCTTGCACACCAATTCCAGATAAAACTCGAATTCATACAAGGGCAAGGATAAGAAACAGAAGAAAAAGAAACAGAAAAGGTGCAAAAACCAGCATATCGAAATCTCTCAAAATTCTCATTTTTTTGTGCGGACAAACATTGGATTGACCGAATGTTATACAAAAACAGAAATCCATTCGTTCTTCATGCCGAACTCATAGTTGGGCATTTCATCGAACAAGTTGGGGACATTAAAAATTTCACTAATTCCTTACTCAAATGCAGCTATAATTGGCCCAAAATTATTCAGAAATCCAAAGAAACATCAGCCCAAACAAACACAGAAAACATGTGCGATCAAAATTTTACAGAGAATCAAGAGGAAAATTGCAATTTCAAATTCACAAGAGACATGTTTCGGGATTCCAGCGTTTACATTCGACGAAGAAAGAAAAACTGATATTCAAGGGGAAAGAGATGGCTTACCGTGCTTTTGCTCGGTGAAAATCTGCAGGCGGGACGGTGAATTCTGGTGAAGTGTGGTATACGCAGAACATAATCCAACACCAAATTGTCCAATCATGCTCACATCAGCCCCTGCCTGCGACGCCTCCATAAACTCCTTTGTACCAGACCTTGCAATTGTCCCCAAATTGTTCACCAAATCTGCTTTGGTCATGCCAACGCCGTTGTCGATGAGGGAGAGAGTTTTGTTGACCTTATCGGGCACCAGCCGGATGAAGAGCTCCTGTTAGGCATCAAGCTTGCTGTTGTCAGTCAAGCTCTCGAAGCGAATCTTGTCCAAGGCATCGGAGGCATTGCTGATCAACTATCGAAGGAAAATCTCCTTGTTGCCGTAGAAAGTACTGATGATCAAACGCAAAAGCTGGTTGATTTCAGCCGGAAATAAAAAAAAATCTAAATAGAAAAACTGACGAGCGAAGAAGAAGAGCTTCTTGCTCTTTCTTTTCGAATGAACTTTAGGAATCCTCACGAAGTCCCCCTCAATTTTCCCCCTTGTGCTGGTTTTCTTTTCCTCCATCTGCTCAGCCCGTCGCCTGGTTACTCTGTTTTTCCCTCCGCTGCTATTTTCTTTTTCTATTGCCCCCTTCTATTCTAAGCTCCCCTCTTGCCTTGGCTCTTCCTTAGTCTTTTTCTTTTCTTTTTCGACCACCCCCCCCTTGGGCTTGCGGCTGTTTGCCTTTCAAAGGCCCCCAAGATTTCAAACCCCGAAATAGACTTATGTGTCTTGTTCTTGTCCCTTTGATTTTGATTTTTTTTAAATTTTTTTAATGAATTAAATAATAATAAAGCAATTCTCTTAACAAACAATAAAAATAAGATAAAATAAACAAAAAAACAAAAAATAAATAAAACAAAAATAAACAAAAATCACCTAAATAAATAAATAAATAAAAGCTAAAATTTTGGTGTCTACAGTTTGCCCCTCTTTGTCTGAGTTTCGAAGAAATTCGAGACAAAGACGTAGATACCAAATACTTATCTGTGTCTATTTTGCTGCAAACCATTCGAATGACCTAGGACTGACCTCTTTATCAAAAAATTTTAAAATGGACTGACTCGTGTTTAGGGGCAATAAAGATAAAAGCGCTAGTGGGACTGACCCATGTTTAGCAAAAATGAAAATGAAATACTCACTAGTGGGACTGACCCATGTTTAGTGGCAATGAAAATGAAAGCGCGCTAGTGGGACTGACCCATGTTTAGCGACAATGAAAATGAAATGCTCACTAGTGGGACTGACCCATGTTTAGTGGCAATGAAAATGAAATGCATGCTAGTGGGACTGACCCATGTTTAGCGGCAGTGAAAAAGAAATGCACACTGGTGGGACTAACCCATGGTTAGCGGCAATGAAACATGAAATGCAATGTAAATGAAAGGCTCACTAGTGGGACTGACCCAACGGCTAGTAGCGGTGCAAATGAAAGGCTTACTAGTGGGACTGACCTAACGGCTCATGGCGGTGGAAATGAAAGGCGCATTAGTGGGACTGACACAACGGCTAGTGGCGGTGCAAATGAAAGGCTCACTAGTGGGACTGACCCAACGGTTAGTGGCAGTGCAAATGAAAGGCGCACTAGTGGGACAGACCCAACGGCTAGTGGCAGTGTAAATATAAGGCTCACTAGTGGGACTGACCCAACGGCTAGTGGCAGTGCAAATGAAAGACTCACTAGTGGGACTGACCCAACTGCTAGTGGCGGTGCAAAATGAATTGCCCACTAGTGGGACTGATCCAACGGCTAGTGGCGGTACAAAATGAAATACTCACTAGTGGGATTGACCCACGGCTAGTGGCGATGCAAAATGAAATGCTCACTAGTGGGACTAACCCACGGCTAGTGGCGGTGCAAAATGAAATGCTTACTAGTGGGACTGACCCAATTGCTAGTGGCGGTGCAAAATGAAATGCTCACTAGTGGGACAGATCCAACGGCTAGTGGGGGTGTAAATGAAAGGCTCACTAGTGGGACTGATCCAACGGCTAGTGGCGGTGCAAAATGAAATACTCACTAGTGGGACTGACCCACGGCTAGTGGCGATGCAAAATGTAATGCTCACTAGTGGGACTGACCCACGGCTAGTGGCGCTGCAAAATGAAATGCTCACTAGTGGGACTGACCCACGGTTAGTGGCAGTGATAAATAAAATGCTGGTATGTATGAAAAAAACTGTATAAGACTTGCTCGAAAAATTATCCAAAGATTTGCCCCAGTATGTTAAATTGGTCAGTGGGATTAAACCCGAGCCTGCCTTGAGAATCGGTCAGTGGGATTAAACCCGAACCTGCCTTGATAATTGGTCAGTGGGATAATACCCGAGCCTGCCAAGGTTGGTGGGGTAAAATCCGATCCCAACGAGATATAAGCAGTCAGCGGGATAAAATCCGGTTCTGCCGAGGTTGGCGGAATAGAACCCGATCCCAACGTGATATAAGCGGTCAGCGGGATAAAATCCAGTCCTGGCCGAAATTGACGGGATAGAACCCGGTTCCAACGAGATATGAACAGTCAGTGGGATAAAATCCGGTCCTCCCGAGGTTTGAACGGTCAGCGGGATAAAACCAGATCCCGCCGAGATTGGCGGAATAAAATCCGGTCCCAACGAGATATAAGCGGTTAGCGGAATAAAATTCGGTCCTGCCGAGGTTGGCGGGATAGAACCCGGTTCCAACGTGATATAATGGTCAAATTCCAGACTCAACAAAATGTTGGCGGTACAAAATCCAGACCCGACGTGATCTTTAAAAAAAAACAAAAAATCAAATTTGATTTGTCAAGAGACAAGAAATTAAACTTGATTTTTGACTTTTGACTTCTCTGATTTTTTTTTTTTATCTTCGAGGATTTTTTATTTTTTTTGGTGATTTTTCGATTTTTCAAAAAAAAAATTTTTTTTTGCTCGATTTTTGTCTTCTTGCTTTTTGGTCTTTTCCTGATTTTTCTGATTTTTCCTGATTGAGAGAAACTTGTCAAAAATAATTTGCTCCAGTGTCGGGCCCTTTTCCTCTTTCTTCTTTCTTCTCTTTTCGGTATCGGCCTTCCACATCACCAAATGCTTTTCGTCGATTTCAGCCACAAATACCTGCACAGAGGGCTTACCAAAGTATGACATGCACTTAAATTTCATGAAAAGAGCAGCGTGATTGATTCGAAAATGTATTATTTTATTCTTGGACGAAAACCTCAAATGTATTACAAAAAATTTGCCCCAGTATGGGCTTATTTTACTAAATCCCATAAACAAAAATTGGCCCCAGTATGGGCCTATTTTACGAAATCTCATAAACAAAAATTTGCCCCAGTATGAGCCTATTTTGCAAAATCTCTCAAATGAAAATTTGCCCCAGTGTGGGTCTATTTAATTGCAAAAATTTGTTTGGATGACTCTGCATTTATTTGAACAAAGTAAGAAACTATGCTTCCTAACAGAAAATTTCATGATGAATTTTTTAAAATAATGCCAAATTACAAGTGATTCCTTTCTCACTTTAGCATTGATGCTTAAGGTAATGGGTCACCGCTTCTTGTTAACTCATCTTTCAGAATCAATCAAGTGGATATTATTTCTGATTTTACGGTGACTGAGAAAAATGGGAGGTTAGGATCTGTCTTATTCTTGTGCTCAATGGTATGTAATCCATTCAATATCACATCTTAGTGAAAACAAATAGTTTGTCACCCCTATTTTTTAAGAAAATTTAGTCACATATAAGCTTTTTAGGCTTGTAACATGTGGGCAGAAACGATAGCTAAACATGTGGAAACAGGTTATAGCCTTAAGATCACGAATGATTGAGGGATTTCTCAGAAGCATAATCCTCGCTTTGGGTTGTCATCAGCAATGAACTTTATGAACTTGTAATGTGACTTGAAAACGATAGTTAAAGAATAAGACTTTCAAGGGCATTGTATCGAAGATCGCATTTCTTTCCAAAACTGCCCTAATTTTGGACTCGAAGATCTTGGATTTTGTTTGACTTGTATCATCACTCAACAGTGACTCAGCATTGAATTTCTCTTTTTTCTCGTGTTTATTTTCCTTGCTTTTTCTTTTCTCTTCCTCCTCTTTTTCTCTTTGTTAAAGGCGTCCTTGCGGATTTTCACACTATGAGCAGTGTCAAACTCACACCTAATCAACTCAGAAGTACATCTAAAAAATTTTTTGGCATCAATATATAAACATCACTTGCCAATTAGAAAATTTATTGACAGAAATATTGCAAAAAACAGAAGTTAGGACTTTCGGCTTTTGTAATGGGGTCGGTAGGGTGTTTAGAAAAGTTAAGGCTTGAAAGCGGATTTCAAAAGCGGTTTGAATGATCTGAGATCGCATTATTGCACCAACTCTATTTTAGGATTAAATCAGAACTTGCCCCAATTTATTCTCAATTGAGGCTCTTTTTTCTTTCATTTTGTTCTCTTTTTTCTTTTTCGACCTTCTGCCATTCTTTTGAATTTTTTCAAAAATTTTGCCCCAATTTATGCTCAACCGAGGTTTTTTTTCCTCTTTTGCTTTTGATTTTGTTGCTTTATCACTTTTCACCTCTTGGGACTTTTCTTTCTTTTTCAACTTAAACTTGCCCCAGTGTGAGGTTTGTGATCCTCAGGGGTTGCCAAACGAAGTATTTTATCTTGAAAGCTCAAAAGAGATAATTAGGGATAGAATGTTTGATTGGAAAAGAAAAGGGTCTGACTTTTATTCCGTTCCTTACATTAATTATGAAAGAAAACTTTCATTAATTTGAAATTTCTTGCACGTATCTGAATCAATTAACTGAGGATGACTCCCGTTCATCCATATCTGTGAAGCATAGGTGATTTGCCGGGCACTCTTTCTTTTCCTTTTCTCTTTCTCTCTTTTCTTTTCTTTTTTCAAAATTGAAGCCCAGGTAGAATCAAATTTTCCCATTTGGGGTTTTCTCTTTTCCTTTAATTTTAGCATTTTGTTTTTTCTCCTTTTTGGAAAAATTCTCTAATCTTCTTCTCCAATGTGGGGTGTGATCGTAAGTGCCTTGTGAAAAGAACCACTGATTTTAGTTCA